GCACTCTTGTGGGACACTCTTGTGGGACACTCTTGTGGGACACTCTTGTAGGAAACTCTTGTGGGACACTCTTGTAGGACACTCTTGTGGGACACTCTTATGGGTCACTCTTACAGGACACTCTTGCAGGACACTCCTTGTGGGACACCCTTGTAGGAAACTCTTGTGGGACACTCTTGTGGGACACTCTTGCGGGACACTCTTGTAGGACACTCTTGTGGGACACTCTTGTCAGACACTCTTATAGGACACTCTTGTGGGACACTCTTAAGGGACACTCTTGTGAGACACTCTTGTGGGACACGGTTGCGCGACACTCACGCTTGTGGGACACGAGCGTTTCGTTCGATACTTCCTCCAAAAGTCACACCTCAAGTCTCCAAAACGAGCGTTTCGTACGAGACCTCCTCCAGAAGTCACGTGTCAAGTCTCCAAAACGAGCGTTTCGTACGAGACTTCCTCCAAAACTCACATGTCAAAGTCTGCGAAACGAGCATTTCGTACGAGACTTCCTCCACACGCCAATCCCAATGTGACAGCGACATCCACCTCTACCGCAACTCACGACCTCACGTCTAACGCGCACAAAGTACTGCGCCTGCCACGAAAAGTGACAATATCATCTCATGTGAGCTTCAACAAAATTTGCACCACACCACACCGTGCTGAGCACACTCCCATCCACCAAAATCGCCATTTCAGCTGAGACCTGTCACGAAAACCGAGCTTCGATGCCACACCCTGAAACGCAAATCCCAATGGCATGGCCACATCCAACACCCCTAAAACACGACTCTCCAAACGCTAATCCCAATGGAACTGCGCAGCAATCTGCGGATCTCACCAAACGCTGCGCCTGTGCAGCCAAATGCATCACGCTTCTTGCGCGGAAATGTCATTGTCACGCAAATCACAATGGAATAGCGGCGCAAACTGACACGTGACACATCCATGCAGAGTCACTTGCAAAAGCTCCCCCCAATGGCAGTGCCTTAGCGCCCTACTGCGGTCACTTGCGGACGGTTGCGGACGGTTGAGGACGGTTGCGGACGGTTGAGGACGGTTGCGGACGTAGAAACAACGGGTCGCGAACAAGGCTCTACCCCCAGACCCCCAAAGTTAAACGAGAACCCTTCGCTACGCATTCGGGAAAAAAAGGGTATCGGTATAGGGTTGGCCCCTATCGATTATGCGGAGTTTGATCAATTCTGGGATACTTGAGGCAGCTCCTTACTAAACTACATGCACGGAAGTTTCGTCCGACGATCATAGAATCATATATGCGTGCCCCCCGGTGTCATTCCACACTGCCTTCTAGCAGAGATAAGGAGAAACTCGCGGTCTTGAAGAACCTGAAGTGCAGAAAGTTAATGTTATTGTCAATATGTGCGTATTGAATGCCTTTGCGCACTGCCACAAAGAATGAAATTGACAAAGAATAATACAGTAAACTTAGCTTTTGTCCGAATGAGGAAGGGCAAATGCAGTCCAGTCCTGTGGGGCCACATCCGCCAGGACCAATGGATCCACCCGCGCATTGCCTGAGAGCACTCGCACGCATCAACCAACCGACCGCCCTCCCTCACCCCATCTCTCTCACCCTCCGCCCTCCCTGCTCTTAGCAAGCGCCAATGACCTTCTGACCTTCTGGCAGTAGGCAGGTCCATGTGGGCCACCTACTCAGTCCCAGTCCCAGTTGCTTGCCAACTGCTTTGCAAGCGCTGGCTTGGATTGGATCTGCTCCCTGGCTCCATACAGCCTGAGCACGTCCACGGATCACAAGAAACCCTCCAGTTCTTAGGCTCGCAATCACCTGAACTCTTTCTGAGGCCTCGCATACACTCAACCACAACTCCATGACAAGTGACAGAATGGGTGTCTGCACTTCAGCTGCTGGAGTGTTAACCTCCAGCGCCATCTCAAGAAAATTTTCATCCTGCAACGCCACGCCAAATTCCTTGACAGCCTGGCCCTGTGCCCCTGTGCTGTGAGTATAAAGGACTGCAAAATTTGAGGGCTATGTTGCGCCGCGCCCGTCTCTAGAACGCCGGCATGATGTTGGAGAACATCAAACGCAAAGGCTACCAGGTCCTCTGCCAGCCACTGGCACACTTCGCTACACCAAACACCAGGTCCAAATGGACAACGCTCATGAAGGAGGTGCACTCGCAAGCCTTGGTGGATATCTGACTTTCATTTGCCAATTGGCTTGCGGGTGGGCACCAGCCAAGCCCAGGTAAGGGACCGTGTTATTACTTAGCTGAGCGACGATGGAAGGCATATCTGTGGGCATCATTCATCATGTGCTCTTGGAGCACATTTCGAAAACGCTCCATCCGCCTGTAGTCGCTAAGTTCCTGCAGGTCTCGGGCGACACCTGACATGTCAAAAGTTTCATTGTTGTTTCATGCAGCATGCATGCACATACAGTTTTAGCTAGTGGGGCAGGTCACTCAGTCTCAATTGCGTAGCATCCAACTCATTGTCTGCCGAAAATGTTACACGTCCCAAAAAAATACTGATCGACAATATGGATATTCAACCACCTTCAATGCCAGGCAAGCTGCCTGAGAACAGCCCGGCCCTGGCAATTTCATCGCCCTGCTCTAGCAAATCCAGCCATCGGGCCTAGCGGGTCATACAAGGTTAGTGTGCTTGCAAAGCCATCCAACAAAGCTACTAGTAACAAGGGCATTTCTAATAGGAGCAAGGACGCTACTAGTAGCTCCTGGCCGCACCGCTAGTAACACGAAGCTACTATACAGTAACAAAGGGCATCGCTACTAGGAGCAAGGACGCACACGGTGGCCTGAGAGTCGCTACACCTTCGAAGCACTCTAACATCCACGGTGTCTGAGTAGAAGATCTCAGGTGCTATGTCATACCTTGGAGGGCCAGCAGCTCTTGAACTCTTGAGACAACTTCACTAAGTTCCTCGCGTTCCTCAGCTGCTGCGCTCCTTT